CAAGACTGTATGGGAAGCAGTGACCAAAACCTACCCAAAGAGAAAGAAACACAAGAGGGCAATGTGGCTGTCTGAGGCGGCTCACAGATAATCTGAGAAGAGAGGAGAAAAGCGAGGGAGAAAGGGAAAGAAGCCCCAACTGCATGCAGAGTCCCACAGAACTGCAAGGAGAGATAAGAGACTTTTTAAATGAACAGTGCAGAAAAAAATTAAAAAAAAAAAAAAAAAAAAGAACAGTGCAGAGAGACAGAAGAAAACAATCAGGTGGGAAAGACTAGAGACCTCTTCAAAACAGCTGGATATAGCACAGAAACATTTCACACAAGGACAGGCACAGTAAAGGACAGAAATGGAAGGCCCTGAGAGAAGGAGCAGAGATTAAGAAGAAGTGGCAAGAAGTGACACAGAAAAACTACACAAGAAAGGTCTCAATGACCCAGATAACCACAACGGTGTGGTCACTCGCCTAGAGCCAGACATCCTGTAGCATGAAGTCAAGTAGGCCTCAGGAAGCATCACTATGAGCAAAGCTAGTGGAGGTGATGGAATTCCACCAGAGCTCTTTCAAATCCTAGAAGACGATGCTGTGAAAGTGCTGCACTCAACATGCCAGCACATGTGGAAAACTCAGCAGTGGCCACAGGTCTGGAAAAGGTCAGCTTTCATTCCAATCCCAAAGAAATGCAGTGCCAAAGAATGTTCAAACTACCACACAATTGCACTCATTTCGCATGCTAGCAAGATAATGCTCAAAATCCTTCAAGCTAGGCTTCAACAGTATGTGAACAGATTTTCCAGATGTATAAATTGGGTTTAGAAAAGGCAGAGGAACCAGAGATCAAATTGCCAGCATCTGCTGGACCACAGAGAAAGCAAGGGAATTTCAGAAAAACATCTACTTCTGCTTCATCGACTACACCAAAACCTTTGACTGTGTGGATCACAACAAACTGTGGAAAATTCTTCAAGAGATGAGAGTTCCAGACCACCTTACCTGACTCCTGAGAAATCCATATGCAGGTCAAGAAGCAACAGAACTAGAGATGGAACAACTGCCTGGTTCCAAATTGGGAAAGGAGTATATCAACACTGTATATTGTTACCCTGCTTATTTAACTTATATGCTGAGTACATTATGTGAAATGCTAGGCTGGATGAATCACAAGCTGGAATGAAGACTGCTGGGAGAAGTATCAATAACCTCAGATATGCAGATGACACCATTTTAATGGCAGAAAGTGAGGAGCAACCAAAGATCCTCTTGATGAAGGTGAAAGAAGAGAGTGAAAAAGCTGGCTTAAAATTCAACATTCAATAAACTAAGATCCTGGCATCTGGTTCCATCACTTCATGGCAAATAGAAGGGGAAAAAGTGGAAACAGTGTCAGATTCTATTTTCTGGGCTCCAAAATCACTGCAGAGTGCAGTGACTGCAGCCATGAAATTCAAAGACGCTTGCTCCTTGGAAGGAAAGTTATGACAAACCTAGTCAGTGCATTCAAAAAGCAGAGATATCAGTTTGCTGACAAAGGTCCACAGTCAAAGCTATGGTTTCTCCAGTAGTCATGTGAGAGTTGGACTATAAAGAAGGCTGAGCGCCAAAGAACTGATGCTTTCGAACTGTGGTGCTGGAGAAGACTCTTGAGAGACCCCTGGACTGCAAGGAGATCCAACCAGTCCATCCTAAAGGAAATGAGATGGTTAGATAAAATCACCGACTCAATGAACATGAATTTGAGCAAACTCCAGAGACAGGGCAGGACAGAGGAGTCAGGCAGTGCTGCAGTCCATGGGATCACAAAGATTTGGACTCACAGACTGAATAACAACAACTAATAATACTATGACCCAGTGGGACTTATCCTGGGCACATAAGGAAGACTTAGTATCTACATATCAATGTGACAGACACCACATTAACACACTGAAGAATAAAAACCACATGATCATCTCTGTAGAGGCACAAAAAGCTTTCAACAAAATCCAACATCCATTTATGACATAAAAAATCCTTCAGAGAGTGGGGACAGAGGAACACACCTAAACATAATAAGGCTACGCATGAGAAGCCTCGAGCGAACACATACTCAACAGTGCAGCTCTGAAAGCATTTCATCTACGATCAGGAACAAGACAAGGACGCCCACTCTTGCCACTTTTATTCAACAACATATTACAGTCCTAGCTATAGGAGTCAGACAAGAAAAATAAAGGAGTCCACACTGGGAAAGAGTAAGTAACGCTGTCAGAATGCGTAGATACCATGGTCCTATACACACGATGCCACCTAAAGCCACCAGAGCTCGTGAATCCGGTAAAGGCACAGGATATACACTTAACGAGAACCAAGGCAGAAACACGGAGAAGGCAACGGCAACCCACTCGTGTTCTTGCCTGGAGAACTCCGGGGACGGGGGAGCCTGGCGGCCTGCCGTCCACGGGCTCGCAGAGTCGGACACGACTGAGCGACTAAACAAGATGGAGACACATGGTCCAGCCTGTTCTACTTCTGGGTCTTTATCTGAAAGGTGCAAAAGCAGGGACGGAAGAGTTATGTGCACGTCCATGCTCACAGCAACACTGTCCACTGCAGCCAAACGGTGGGAGCAACCCAAGTGTCCATCAAGGGGTGACGGACGAACAGAGTGTGCTGTGGACACAATGGAACCCTGGTCAGCCTCACGAGGGAAGGCGGTTCTGACGTGAGCTCTGACGTGAGCTACGTCAGGGACACGCAATGCAACCCTGGTCAGCCTCACGAGGGAAGGCGGTTGTGACGTGAGCTCCGACGTGAGCTACGTCAGGGACATGCAACGGAACCCTGTTCAGCCTCACGAGGGAAGGCGGTTCTGACGTGAGCTCTGACGTGAGCTACGTCAGGGACATGCAATGCAACCCTGGTCAGCCTCACGAGGGAAGGCGGTTGTGACGTGAGCTCCGACGTGAGCTACGTCAGGGACATGCAACGGAACCCTGTTCAGCCTCACGAGGGAAGGCGGTTCTGACGTGAGCTCTGACGTGAGCTACGTCAGGGACACGCAATGCAACACTAGTCAGCCGCCTGAGGGAAGGCGGTTCTGACGTGAGCTCCGACGTGAGCTACGTCAGGGACATGCAATGCAACCCTGGTCAGCCTCACGAGGGAAGGCGGTTCTGACGTGAGCTCCGACGTGAGCTACGTCAGGGACACGCAATGCAACACTAGTCAGCCGCCTGAGGGAAGGCGGTTCTGACGTGAGCTACGTCAGGGACACACCGTGAGTGAGACAAGCTGTCAGCAAAGGACAGAAGCCGTGACTCCACTCACACGGGTCAAGATCACAGAGCCAAGATCACAGAGAGAAGGCACAGAACGGGGCTGCTGGCAGCTTGGGGAAGAAGGCAGTGTTCGGGGGGTTGAGAGGTTCAGTTTGGAAGAGGAAAGCCATTCTGAAGATGGATGGCTGTAAAAAAATGTGAATGTCTTTACTGCCAATGAACTGTTTGCTTAAAAATGGCTAAAATATTAAGCTGCGCATTACATATGTTCTTCCACAATAAACCCAGACAAACGACAGCCAGTCTGGTCCTCTTGGGGTTACGTCCTCTGGGGAAAGGAACCGCCGTCGAGCACGGGCAGTCGCAGCTGTGACAACGCCGGCTCCGGAGGGCGCTGCCTGGCCCCGGGGGGGTCCGTCAGTCCTCAGCCTTCCTGCTCTGCATCTTTGGCATCTGAAACTGCGGGGCTTCCCCGCCCCCTGGAAACGGCCGTCTCACCTCCCTGGACCACCGCCTTCTGACCCCTCACCCTCTGCTGGCCCGGCTCACCCTCCTCTGCCTCCCTGACGCCCAACCACAGCCCCTGTCCATGTTGCTGCCACACGCCCATGGCCCAGCTCAGCCAAGGGGCAGCTGCCCACGCGCCTCCAGGGTTCTGAGACATCCCACCAGGTCTCAGCGACCTTTGCGAGATATTCCTCACCGCAATGCCTTCCTTAGAGCTCTTTCCTTTTGTAACATCTCTAGTGAAACATAAGCCACACACCGTAAAACCCACGCGTGCAGGCAGCACACGCACTGTCTCTGAGCACCCGCACCTGGCATCAGGGACGCCCCACACCCTCAGGGTCGCATCTCGTCCCCTCATCTCTCCAGCCTTCGGCAAACACTCATCTACTTCCTTTTCTCTGCCAGTTCTGGACACTTTCATACAAATGGAATCATGCCCCGTTTCTTTCACCCAGCATAACTTTTTCTTAAGGTTCATCCGCATTGTAGTATGTGCATGTTTTAGGACTTCATTTCTTTTTATTGCCAACAATATTCCTTGACTATGGAACATTTTGTTCATCCATTCATTAATCAACAGAAACTTGTGTGGTTTTTCAAGTTTTGCTAACTGCTTAATTTGTTTAGTCCGTGCAACAGCCCAGCGTGGGCCCACCACCCACACCTGCTGGGGGCTGCTGGGGGCCGCTGGGCGCCCCAGCTCCCCAGCACTGACCGTGCTACTCCTAAGGGTCCATGGCTCAGCCCTATGGCCACGTGCATGCTTCACACGGAAGGCTGGTCTACGCAGTAAGCAAACTCTAGCCAGGGGAGACCCTGAAGGCGGGTTTCTGGCCCCGAGAATAATGCTGTTATGAACATCTGTGTAGGAGCTTCTCTGTGGACGCCTGCCTCTCTCTCTCTGGAGGGCACACCCAGGAGCAGCACGTGGGCCCCATGGTCACTGTGGTGAGCACTGAGCTTCTCCTGCAGGAATGAAACGGGGGACTTAGCACAGTGAAGTGATTAGGCTTAAGGAGGAAAGAGGAGAGGCCTGCTCTGCGCCTTGAAGGACAGAAGCGAGAACAGCTATGCGTAGCTATGAATTCATCTGATTCTGTGCAGTGTGAGATTTAACACGAAAGCTTTTGCTGCAGTGGCTGAAGAAGGCACTTGGTTTATCGTTTTTTAACTGTACTTCCAGTGAGACGGCAGACAGACCAAACGATCTGAAGCACGGAGGCCACACTCACTTGGGTAGACCTTCGAGTCTGCCGAGCCTGTCTGGAGCGCGCCTTCCGTAGGGACTCTGCTTCCTCGTCCCGGACGGGAGTCAGATACGACCTGCGGGGAGAAGAGGCACACAGAAGTGAGGCCCTGGCGCATGCAGGTGCTCCCCACGCGGGCGGGCTGCACGTGCCAAGGCGGGGCCGGGCTCCACCTGTGTCGACAGCAACGGTTCTCAGACTGTTCACATCTCACATTTTAAAAAGTACTGAAGATTCCCAAACAGCGTGTGTTTATATGGGATATATCTATCAACATTTACCTTATTAGACATTAAAATCAAGACATGAAACATGCATTTGTGAATTTATTAGAAAATGACAGCCCTATTACATGCTAATATCAATAATTTATCTTTTATGAAAACATGTTCTAAAACAAAAAAATTTACTAAGAATAGCATTACATGTTTGTAAATTTCTTTAATGTTGCCTTAATACAAGATAGCTGGATTTTCACATACATTTCTGCATTCGATATGTGTAGTATGTTGTTTTAGCTAAAATATACAAAAATATCCGGTCCTCCAGAGATACGTAGTTGGAAAAGCAAGGAGTCTCACAGCAGCTTTTTCAGGTAACTGTGGACAGTCCTCTCTAATCATACGGTCACACATAACTGACACAAGTGGCGATTCCTAAAGGTCAGCGGCTCCATGGAACCTGAAGCCATCAGCAGAGCTCTCACGCCCTGTAACGCTGAAACCCAGTTGTCTGTCTTGTACCTGGGATGCAACGCCTTACCCAGGCGTGGCTCTGGGGAAATACTGGTGCAGCCCTCCCAAATGCGAACACATTTCATCACGCAACAGCAACCTTAAAAACCACATTTTTTACCACACTCTCCTTGACATCAGTCTTGGCAATGACGTTCTGACACCAAACGCAAAACGAACATATGGGACTTCATCAAGCTTCCTGCTTCTGCACAGCAGAGGGCACCAGCATCTGGACAAAAGGCCACTGAACGGGAGGAGATGCTCGCAAGTTACGGAGCTGATACGGGGTTAACAGCCAGGCCGAAGAGCCCACAGAACTCAACAGAAAACAAGCACTCCGATTAAAAAACGGGCAAAAGATCTGAGCAGACTTTTTCCCAGGAAGATGGACAACAGGCACATGAAAAGATGCTCACACCACTAATCACCAGGGAAACGCCAGCCACAGGCACAGGGAGGGGTCACCTCACACCTGTCTGCACGGCTACCAGACAAGGAGCAACCGGTGCGGGCAAGGATGTGGGGACGGCGTCCTCACACATCGCTGGTGGTGTGAGCTGCGGCAGCCACTGTGGCAACAGCAGAACCAGAACTACCACGTGACCCAGCGAGCCCACTGCTGGGCACTGATCTGAAGGAAACCAGATCACCACCTCCATCTGTGCTAAATCTGTACCCACATGCCCTGCTCACACTGCCAAGACAGGTGTGTCTTCAATAGACCAAGTGTCTATCAACAGATGAATGGATGAAGCAAGCGTGGCAGGTGTGTATGTGCGTGTACACACACAGCAGAATACTGCTTAGTCACAGGAGGAGGAAATCTTGCCATCTGCAACAACATGGATGGGCCTTGAGGGCCCATGCTAAGTGAAATAAGTCAGACAAAGACAAATATGGTGTGATCTTATTTGCATGTGGGATCTAAAAAACAGAGCTCACAGGTACGGAGAACAGACTGGGATTGCTGGGGGTGGGGGTGGGCAGAGTGGGCGAGGTGCTCAGAAGGCGCAAACCTCGAGTTATAGGAGCGGTCAGTCCCGGGACGGGACACCACACGTGGGCGACACTGACCAGTGTGCACGGCGCATCCGAGATGTGCTCAGAGAGCAGACCTCAAAAGTGCTCACCACAAGGGAGAAAAGAGAGCCACGTGTGGAGACAGACGTAGATGTAGATTTATTGTGGTAATCGCTCTGTGACATACCTATCAAATCAGTATGCTGTACACCAAGAAGAAAATGTTTTATTTCATCATCAATAAAAAACAATAAAATTTTTAAAACTTCACATTTTCCAATACTAGCTTTGGTCTCAGAACAGTCTTTGCACATTGGGAAGCAGTGAATACTGTCACCACAGCGACAGGTACAAGTCTTCCAAAATTCCAATTTCTGCCTTAAATGTTATAATTTGCAACCAACACTCAAAATGAGCTCACTTTGCTTGTTTTCAAGAAATGGTTGGCCACGCACCTCCGTCTGAACGGCGGGTCTGAGCATCCACGTCCCAGGAGGAAGCGGTGCTGGCTTGGGAGAGGCGGCCAGCCCCACCTCCTCTCCAGCTGCAGGTCGGAGCCCCCAGGACTCCCACCGCCCTCCGATCATGACGACGCTCTTCCCAGCCTTTCTGCTGTCTCTCTGGGCTGCACGCTGGGCGCTTCCTGCTGTCCAGTCTGTTTAGTTCACAAGCCCTCTCTTCAGCTGCTCTTCTACAAGTGATTTCTTAAATTTATTACTTTAATTTTCAGTTCTAGAATTTACATTTTCCTAAACAGAAAGCAGTTCTCTATTGAAATTCTCTATCTTGTCTTCTATTTTCTCGAACATGTTAACCATAATTTACCATGATTACTTTGAAGTCCAGGTCTGATACCATCAATATCTGAGTCTGTTCCTAGTGTCTGTATTTTCTCTTAAGTCTTTCGTAAATTAGTCTTGTTACTCAGCATGTATGGCGATTTTTGAATTAATGCCAGAATTTTTAATGAAAGAAAACTGTAATGGCTTGCAGCTCTGAAAAGCACTGCCAGAGGAGACCCTCGAGCATGGCAGTCAGGCTGAGGACGTGGTCCCCAACTTTCGTGCAGCAGCCTCACTTGGAAGGCTGTGCTTACGAACCTCACGGGGCTCCCCCTCCACAGCACTCACTCAGGTCTGGAGGGCATCTGAGAAGCTCCTGACTAGTTCTCAGGTGACCTGGTGATGTGGAGACCATACTGTGAGGAACAAGGGGCTGAGGCAAACCCTCTTAACCCACCTTGAGACTGAGCTGCTCACAAGCTGGGCTTCAGTCTCCGCAAAGCTGGCCTGTGCCTGGGAAGCCTGGCGGCCGGAAGGTGGGCCCTTGGCGGTCCCAGTGGAAGTCTAGGGGTCCCTGGGGCCCTGTTTCTGAACTCTGGCTTCTGTCCCCTGGGCGTGAGGAGCCTTGGAGCCAGCGCCTCGGGGACAGCACAGCCCGGGGCAGGGTTCACCTGCTGTGACTCCCTCCAGGACCAGCGCTCACTTCCTCACCATCTCTCCAACGCCTTCAAAGGCTTCTTTTCCTTTTCTTTATCCAGCCTCTCTGCTTATTCTCAGGGGGAGGGTTTGTCGGTTACAAGACAGGCCATAGTCTGAACAGAGGTGCTCAGCCAGGCTGCATGTTAAGAGAGATTTTCCCACCATGCGGATTAGTAAACTGGAATTGCCGTCCACCCTCAGCCCACTGTGAACACCTCCTTCCTTAGTATACGCCTCTCCTCTGGGCGCACTGGAAAAACCTGAGTCTCCAAACTTGCAAGCCATAGGCCAGCCCTGGAGTCAGTGACCACACGGAGGACTAGGCCCTCCCCGGGAAATCCGCCTGGGTGCCAGGGAGCCTCCTCACACATCACCCTCTACCTGCAAACACAGGGAACATCCTGATGACCCCTAATTCTTGACTGCCGTCTCCTCTCTGCACCCCAGACAGAGGCCACGGTGAAGGTGCACGCTGCCAACTGGCACACCTCACCACCTGTTCCAGTGACTCATCGAACAAGAGAAACGCAGCTGGTAAAAACGGCTCTGGGGAGACATCAAGGGCCTTGCACCTCACTGAGTCTTAAGTGTGTGAAATCACACACGTTCTTCCCAGAAACAACCAGAAAACAGACCAACATGTGAAAACAAAACAAAGTGAATCCCACCACAGGAAGACAAGCCCATTTTTATTCTACTACACAGATGTTTAGATTTTTATCTATGTATGTATAGCCAGTACCTGTATACTATAGTCTATTTTTAATTGATATTATGTATATTACTTTGCAATTGGGTCAATATATGAGATTTCTGCTAAGTTGTAAGGGGAAAAAAAAAAACTATAAAAACAAACCCCAGAAAACCCTAGTACTTGATTTTAAGAGTTTCTGAGGAGGGAACGAACATCCTCATTCACTTTTGTCCACCCAGATGCGGGTTCCAGACCCACAGAAGTGAGCACCTCAATGCCTGGTCTCCCAGGGGACACGCTGCGTTTTCAGTAGCACCTGAGTCCTGAATGTTCTAACCCCAGACCGGGGAGCACACTGCAGTCCTGGAGCCACGCCTGGCCACCACATTCTGTAAATCAAGTTTTATCAACGACAGCAGCAGGGTTTAGTATTTGTGACTGAAACAAAATGGCTTGCAAAGTCCAAAATACTCATCACCTGGCCTTCACAGAGAAGACCTGCCACGCCCGTGCCAGGCACACCCACGGCCAGCATAGCAGGGCGTGCGCGCGCCTGCCCGGAACAGCTCTGCAGACGGGCCTCGGCCCACAGCACACTGCAGCCACAGCTCAGCAGAAGCTGTGGCTTCACAGGTGCCCCTGCTCTGGCCTCCAGATAAAAACCAGGCTAACATCTGCCATGCAGGGACAGAGGAAGGAATTCTGATGCCAAATCATTTAATTACCATACCTGCCTACTGCATTTCCTGGAAGGCAAGAAACATTCTACTTTGTCTGAGGTTACATGGTCAGTAGAATTCAAATACTTCGAATTAAGCAAAATAATTTGTTACAGTGCCCCTTTACATACAACACATGCACTAATTCTGTCTTAGAAAGCTGTGAAAATCATCAGTGGACATCAAGAAAGTCATCACGGTAACAAAGGACCTAAAATACCTTCCGACAAGTTCAGTGTGGCGACAAGGACCCTGACATGGAATCAGACTGCTGGGGCTAAAACCGCGACCCCTGAGGATCTGTGCCAGACGACCCCGGACAAGATGTCTAAGCAGTCTCGGCCCGAGGTGCTCAGGCAATGTGGACATTCCCGGCTGCCACTGACTCTTCATCCAGCACCAGGGCTGCTGTGAGGACCAGGGCA